AAAGCTCCGTGAGTGCGGGGAGGGGAGCAGATAGAGTGAGCCCAGCGCTCATATTCGAAAATGTCTCAAAGTATTCACAGAGCACCAGGCCACATATAAGTACAATGAAATAAATACACAATAAGAGTTTGTTAGTGCAAATGTGTTTGTCATAACTTTGTGCTTTATTACCATGTTTGAACATATAACATTCTTGCTTCGTGCTTGTAAAGTCCACAATTAGTGACAAATATTGGACACAGTTGTTTCCTATACTATATTTCTGGACACTTTCTGTTTCCTCACTTCTTCTTTTGGAGTTATATGGATCCGCCACAGCTGTCTAGTGAAAGCTGACTGATTATATAGTGCCTATTAATTGTGGCAACATTCCTCTTATGAGCAAGAAGCAACTGCCCCTTAAAAGTATGCACGGACACATGGGTACAATATGCTCCTGCCCTTTTAAAACCTGCGTACATTCATTACAGCTCGCCTACAAACATTTCACAGAGCCGTTGACATAGCTGGGCCCAGACACACAGCACTTATTGTTGAGAAGGAATTTTGAACTGTGTTCTTTTTAACATACTGGATTCTACTTAAGTGTCATGTTGAAATATTATCTGGATGTGGGGATCCTGAAGTGATGCGTTTTCCTGCTTCATACTTTGGTCAATACTCCAAAATAAATGTGCAGTGTATGCCAGAAAGGTTTAGCTGTGGGTTTACGTGAACTTTGTCAAGGTAAAGTGTCTATACAGATTGTGTGCATTTACAGTTGTGCTTGAAATGTTACTCACCCAAGCAGAAATGTAGCTGTTTTTATGGTGAAACATTTTCTTAAAGATTTTTTTTATTTGTTTTTAGTGATTGTTTGTGTTTGTGGTGGCCATTAATTGTCAAACAAACATGTTTTCTGTTTTCAAACTATAATGATTACCCAAATGACTTGGAGTTTTTTTTGGTAGTTGTGGTTATAGTCCTTTATCTTTTCTGATGGTAAAGTGACCCATTCCTCATAGCAACTAACAACCAGTCCCCGAAAAATTCCTGGGCAGTATTGCAATAACAGCACATTTTGGATTTCTCTATGACATCTTAATTTGAAATTAGAAAAGACATATTTTTGGCAATATATGGCTCCACACCAGTGGGGGCTCAAAAATGTCCAAAATGATGTGAGCTGACATGCTTGCTATACCACTCCGGGCCGAATGGGGTGGACCCAGAATAAGAATGATTCAATGCAAATGTACGTATCTTCTTACCTCTCACAAACGGGTTTACAGGATGGTCCAAAAGTTGGCTCTTGGCCCAAAGCTACGTCCCAGACATGGGCCAGTCTAGTTAAGTCGCAGTGAAATTTTGAAGCACTCCTCAATATAAATGGAGCTTGTGCCGGCTGCCGCATGCGCAGACCTGTTTTTTTCACATTTTCCAGCCCCCGCTGCCATTTTGAAACTGCCCATAGACGACAAAAGTGATGGCACATTAGTTTGAACGCTGGAGATAGGCGTGACTACATCGGTTAATTTTTACAGCTCCACGCACTAAAATAATGACATTTCTGCCTGGGTGTTTCAGGCACGACATCGGAAACACAAACTAGTGTTGGGTAAACCTACAAAAAATATTCCTGTTTCACATGATGTCTGTGAAGTTTGTTACTCACACCCATACATTTCAACAAATCAACTCTGTTTCTTCTACATTAATCTCAAACGCAATCATATCTCTCATTCACCATTCATCTTTCCATATATCCTGTCTCTCCTCACATGTTTGTATCTGTGTCCTTCTCCTCACGTTCCCCTCCATAGCCTATTTTCTCTGTCCATTAATCCCGCCATCTGTCTTACCTCTCCCATGCTGAGACGGTAGCAGCGGCGTTCCCGATATGCTTGGAAACCCTTGGCCCGATCTCCTCCAAGAGAAATACGGAATTGCTTCTCAAAACAGTGAGAGTTGAATAAAATCCTTCACAGGGAGCTATAAACATGCTTATGAAGGCTTTCCGTGCCAGTGGTGGGTACCATTCACCACTTTAATGACGCATCATTTCATCTCTCACCCATTTACCAGACTCCATCTTTCTTCAGTCCAACAAGGCGATTCAAGTTCTGTTTTTATACTTTGAATCGTGTCTGGTTAATGGTTCCCCACTTGCATTAATAAAGTGGTTTATAGTGATCTAAGAGCTTTGATTTCCCGCTAGACCTCAAAGCAAGGTTTAATAGCATTGAAACATGTAATTACACACCATCAGATGTAATAATTCAAACATGTACTCGCCAAACTGGCTGCAAATCTTTCCTCAATATTCTATTACAGCTGTATGTCAATCCATGCTTATCTGATGTGTTATTGTTATGGTGTGTGGAGGAGCGGCCGATTTAGGGGCCACCTGTCGACTCGTAAATGTTCTGATTACTGCTCTGAGCCGCTGGGGTTTGGGTGTCTGTTTCTCATTTCTGGTTGTCCTGTGATCTTGTCTTCCTTGTTCTTCAATGCACCGTGGGGAATTATTGTCTGTCATTGTGTAATTTTGTTTTTGCTTTAAAATGTGTAACTGTAAAGAAGAAGGGAAATGCTTTTGAATCAAACACAGGCAAAAAACAAACACAAAAATAGCAATCTGCAAAAAGTGCATGAAGAGATCAAGGAATAAGAATATTTGGGCCCATTGTTCTATCATTGATATAATTGTCCCAGAGCAATACAAAAGTCATCGATGTATTTTCAGCCATGTTATTGGTTCCAATCTCCCACAAACATGGATTAATCTGTAAAAGCTATCTGCTGTCACTAAGTCTCAGGGCGCATTCACACTTAGTCCCAAGTGAACCAGACTCCTGCTAGGACTCCCAGAATTTCAGAAACTTCAAGCACTCCCAGAGCTGTCATTTTGACTGGTCCCATTCAAATCAATGACATATTGAGAAATTCCTCAAAAAAGCATTCATTTTCTTCAAGTTTTATCAAATATGTTTTTTGCTCATCTTTTAGTTAGTGCTAAAGCTGGTTAATATATATCTATATATATATCTTGAAATACAGAAGAAACAGTCTGGTGAAAATCTACCAAATGCTAACTGCTGGCAAGTAAACGGTGGGTTGCTAAGGTAGAACTACTCACATTTCAAAACAATGACATAGAAGTACACTAGAAAAAGTCACAAAGTTCAGAAGAGCAAAAATGTACATAAGCCATAAAATTACAATTACAAAACTTAATTTTGAATGTTGTTTTTTGTATGTACTTGTCTTGTGCACACTGGGGACTTTTGCAAATGTATTCCAATGTGGTTTTACTGCAAATGGCAAATAAATGAATCTGAATCTGACTTAAAGCCGTCAAATTGACTGCTTTGGGAGTTAATCCACCACAATGACCGAAAGACTACTGCCGGTTTCACATCCCCATATCATTGTTTCCCCAATTGGTTCACTTAAAGTTTGTGTTTAAAGCAAGAGTTTCTTTCTGATTGTATAATCGAACCACAAATACGACCTAAACCTTTATTGCCAGAGTCAGGAGATTGGCACATCTGTGAGCACTTCACAATTAAACTCCATGATGTCTCAAAGGTCACTTCCCAACGTAGATCATTTCTGCTAATAATCAGTACGGTGCCCAGATGTGGTAGACATTTTGTATTGATTAACATTTCCCTCTTCGTTGTTTACGATAATTATCTCTCATATGTCATCAGAATTAAACCATTACGCACCTCACATACTGTTCAATTCACACCTCCTGTTATTTTCTTCAGGAGCGACGGATGGAATCTTTTAGTCAAGAACTACATTAATATCAAACAGTGGGTTGTCATGTAAATTCACACGTGGGAGTCTTTACTAAATGCTAATAAATTCCTATGTGGAGCCATTCTCAGCTGTCTCCTCTTACGGCTTCAGTCCACTTTTGTTACACAATTTGCTGTGTATGCAGTTATTGTACATATGTTTTATAGCAGCAGACTTTCCAGTTGTCAGGCATCACAGCAGGACGTCCCACTCTCTGCTCTGCTTTGTCTTTCCTCAGACCACACATGAGCTGAGAGTTGGTTTCTGCTTGCATCTATTTAAACCTTTACGGTGGAAGACAGTATTTAAGAGGAAATGTGCTTAGAAGCTAGAAACAGTGTGGTTGTATTACGTCGTTTGGTTTCAAGGAAAGTTGTGGGTGAAGTAAAAGTATGACATCATTATCCCTGAGCCCCTCTGCTGTTTGAAGAAATCCTAATTATAAGTCTCAGGCTGAAGAAGATGTACCATGACTCACTTCTACCTTCACCTTGGGTTTGGACCAATATTCATGCAGAACACTTCACCTTTAACCTGTTTAGTCTTAACCATTATTTTACTCAACCCTTCCCTCCACACCTTAATGTCTTCAGCCACACTCTTCGGATCGATTTCACGCTTGTCAGGAAAGTTTCTTGTTTTTGATTCTCATTCCAAGCGAGGATTTGCTTTATTTGGGCAATCTTGTTTGTGGTAATCTTTCTTGGTAAGTTTTGTAAAAGTGATGAGATGAGGCGAAATGGACTTTTTGGAGCTTCATCCATGTTATCACAATGTTCCCACTCACAACTGTGTTTAGCTCCATCTTTGCTGACATCAAGATTTTTTTGGCAAACAATCGTTCTTGTATTGTGCACACTGGGGACTTTTGCAAATGTACTGTATTCCATTGTGGTTTTAATGCAAATGGCAAATAAAATTATTCTGAATCTGAATCTTCACCTCTCCCATCGTCACCAAAGTCTCTGCCTTTTCAGAACGCATGTACAGTATATTCTCAAATTATTCTCCATACGACTGCGTTCCTTCATTAACATGTTTGTACACATTATGAACAGCAGTAGATGAGAGTGGATTGTGTATTTCAACCCTCTGATTGTGAGCTTTCATTTTTATTCCAATGTGTAATGTGGGCAATGTAAACAGGAAATGAATGCAGCCTATGTATTTGTTATTTTTCTTTAATCTTGTCTCTTTGTTTTGCCCTGAAGCGATGACCATTCTGCGCTTGTGGAGGGCCCGGTGCTGGTGGGTCCTGCTCTGTGCCCTGTCAGGATGTGGTTTCGGTGACGAGCAGCCAGAGGCGCCCGCTCCTGAGCAGGGAGTCACCTTCAGCCATGTCTATAAAATCGACATCCCAGCGATGGGTTCCTCTTGTAAACTCGAGCCTCTATCCACAGACGATAAAACAGGTAATTAAGGCACAGATACACAGGGACGTGAAAAAGTAGTATTTTTCTAATCCTTTGGCGTTGTGCTGTAGATCTTCAAACAGGAACAACAACAACAGGAGACAATGATATCATTTTTAGACACAATATCAAGTTGCAGACGCCAAAGTGTGACTGCGAAGAATCCGAGAGCTTTAAATCACTGCTGTACCGGGTCAACGGGCTGGAAGAGGAGGTCAACTATCTGAAGACCCAGTGTACTCAAGGCTGCTGTGGACAAGCTACAGGTGGAATGTCTTATAATATTTCACACAACTATTTTAAACAGGATTTCATAACTACCCCTAGTAAAATTTCACAATATCGTTGTTTGTAACATCACATGTGACACTATAGGAGAGACTAAAACCAAGATGAGGAAAGTTAAGTCAACAGCAAAAGGCAGGCACAGGAAGAACATGCAAACTTTACTCACAATCGTTCCCTCTTACTGTAGGCGAGAACCAAGGACCAAGTATTATTATCATTGTTGACTTTTATTCCACCAGAAAGGTCCCACTGAGATTTCAGAATCTATTTTTCAGGGTAGTCCTGGCACCAGAGAGACGAGAACTGTTGTACATGTTTTTAGTGGTAGGGGAACTGGAGCAACCGGAGGAAACCTATGCAGACACAGGGAGAACATTCAAACTCCAAGCCCCGTCTGGAGATGGAATTAAATCCGGGATCTTTTAGATGAACAGCAAGAGTACTAACAACTCAAGTAGAAAAGAGTCTTCAAAGTCAACAAAGTTTCACCCAATCAAGTACAATAAAGTTTGATCTATACTTTTATTGTTTGGATCCCAAAGACGTCATTTCCCAAACAGGTGTTTTCATCCCCAAATCGGAGTCATTTAATTTTGAGTATTGGGTGATACTGGGTTCTCACTCAATACTTCTATAATACTTTTTTTAATAGAGAAACATATCTATTGCCACTTATATTTTATTGTAGTTACTTTATTTCATTCTGCTGCTCAACACATACAAACATCCAATAATAACTGCAGAAATATGTCTCACTTTCAACCAGCGCACAACTATAGATCTGAGAACAAAAACATACAGTATTATGTCTGAGTCCTGATGCAGAGGTAATAATCATGTTTTTCTCCGCACTTCTTCAAGGCGTTGACACCAGCTGCGGCGGCCACGGCACGTACCAGCACGACTCCTGCAGCTGTGTGTGCGACCCGGGCTGGGAGGGGCCCGACTGTTCCACGTCCACCTGCCCCGACGACTGCAACGACAACGGCCGCTGTGTGGACGGGAAGTGCGTGTGTCTCCAGGGATACACGGGCCACGACTGCAGCGAGGCCGCCTGTCCAGACAACTGCAACGACAAAGGCCAGTGCGTGGACGGCAAGTGCGTGTGCTTCCCCCACTTCAGCGGAGAAGACTGCAGCGTCCAGCGGTGCCCCAACGACTGCATCGGCAACGGGAAGTGTGTGGACGGGAAGTGCGTCTGTGATGAGGGATTCTTTGGAGATGACTGCTCCCTCGGTAAGCAACTTGTTATCGTACTTACGGGTTGGGGAAATTTCCAAAAGATACAATAAGATAAGATAAAACTTTATTGATCTCACAATGGAGAAAGTTACATGTTACATTTGGCATAAATAGGATCACTCAGGGTGTGCAAAAAGACAGGAAATATATCTTATGTGTCTATTTATATTTGCTGGTTGGTTGGGATGGAAGATTATTTTTTACATTTTTCTTTTTTGTTGTTGTTGAAAAATGTACCACAAATGTGCAGTGGTAATGACACTGCAATATTATTAAGGCAACTCATTTGTGCCCTACCATCATTCACAAAAACACCAGACACCAGTTTGAAGTGACTGGCCTAAGACAACAACAGACTTTCACAGGCAGATGGCGCCACCAAAGACCTACATCAGTGTCTCCCAAAGTGGGGCCCAAACGGTATTGCAGGGGGGGCGAGAAGACATAAAAAAAAAATAAACATTTTTATATAATTATTTTAGGTTAAATTAATAATGTTTTGTTTGTAACATTAAAATATTTGTGTTTATTGTTTGACTTAAATAATCAAATTTTAATCATTTTTGTATTAGAAAATTGCTTGCGTCTCATGTTTGTAGTAGAGGCTATTTCCCCCAAATAAAATAACGAGAAGAGCCTATTTTTAACGTTGTCTTCTTGGTTATTATTTCGGGGGGCCGCACAGACCCGTCAGATTTTTAAGTGGGCCGCGGTGTTACTGACTTTGGGAAAGGCTGACCTACATAATAATACAATTCAATCAAGTGACCTCCTTGAAGCTCGTGGTTGACTCACAACTTTTCATATTAAATCTGACGTTCAGGTGGAGTGGAAATACCATCCACAATGGGGTATTATGTCAGTGTGATAAAGGTCCAGGAGAGGAGAGAGGAGAGAGGGATACTGTATTATGTAAATGGTGCATAGAACTGTGAACCGCTGCACTGAACAAACCTCCTGTCACTTTTCACGCTGCATTGTTCTCATGGGACTTATTACAGTGACTTAACGCCTTTTTAATAGTTTTATAGAATACTTTTCTAACAACATCTGTAAATTAAATATTAACTCAACTCTGCTCAAAGAAGTCTTTTTATTGCAAGCTTTGGGACCAGTTAAATGCAGTTCTTTTCCCAATGGCCCATTCACCCTGATGCTTATCAGACAGATGACCTCCAGTTCACTTTTGATGCTTCAGCATTTAGGACTCACACTGGGATTATTACAGCATGATGACTACTCTAACACTGGCACTTATCGCCCTCGTTTTAGTTCCAAGGTGACTTAAAGGCTGCAAAGTTTATGAATAATTGGCTCTGTGTTGCCGTCTCTGCAAATTAATTAGTTGTGTTTGCTCTGAAAATATTAATTATAGCGGCCCTAATACACCATTCATTATCATTATTGGGATCAACATAAACAGCAGTCTGAGTAAGTAATCTTTATTTGTATAGCGGCTTTCACAAACTGAGAGTGCTGTAGCCACTGCATGACCGTGCCGACTCATTTTGTCTAATCAAAATATACAGCAGAGTCATTTCAAACTTGAACATCAAAAGACAAAAATGATAAACAAGATACCCCAAAAAAACCCTGCGTAAGTGGTTCCAACCCCTATCACTCATTCACAATACACATACATACTCACTTAGACACAGGCCCAAACACTCTCTGAGCATAGACCTCGCCCCATCTCTTGCTCTTTGCTGAAGGCAGATTTCAATACTTTTTATTCTGTTCTTTTATTTTTATTTTTGAACTAAATCATATTATAGATCTATATACATTATATACCATAAGTTTGGACACACTTTCTCATTAATTGAGTGTCCTTTCTTTTCATGACTTTTGACTGTAGATTCATACTCAGGCTGTGTAAGGGCTATTTGACCATTAAGGAGAGTGGTGGGGTGCTGGGCCAGATGACCCGGCCTCCACAGTCCGGACCTGAACCCAATCGAGATGGTTATGGGGCTGGACCACAGACTGAGAGCGCAAGGGCCAACAAGTGCTAAGTATCTCTGGGAACTTAGACCATTTCAGGTCACTACCTCTTGAAGCTCATCAAGAGAATGCCAAGAGTGTGCGAAGCAGTAATCAGAGCAAAAGGTGCTACTTTGAAGAACCGAGAAGACATATTTTCATTTGTTTTCTTTATTATTTTTAGTATGTACATAATTCCACATGAGTGAATTCATAGTTTTGATGCCTTCAGTGTGAATCTACAATTTTCACAATCATGAAAATAAAAAACTCTTTGAATGAGAAGGTGTGTCCAAACTTTTGGTCTGTACTGTACATATTTGTTTAATTTATATCAGATTATATTCTGTTTTATCCATGTATTCATTCCAATGCAAACTTAAAAAAAAAAAAAAAAGCAAGCCAGCACATGTCCAAGCCTTGAAATTAATTGAGCGCATCATCTCGTCAGAAACTTGACTCATACTTGAGTTTGCTTTGAAATTGCCACATTGGTCTAAGCCTTTTGAGGTGGCCTTTGACCTTATGTCTCAGAAACACATAACTGGCTCTTTGAAGAAAATCTACTCCTAAACGTGTTCATGTCCCACTCAGCAGGACACATCTATCGCTTTTTAACACTCAGAATCACTGTACAGCTATAACTGTACCTGAGAGCCTGCAAACATCCCATCTTCCAGCAATTTATGGTCAGACAGGCGGAAAGGTGAGGGGACATCACTGGCTTGAGTTCACTTTAAGATTGCAAGTTGTATAGTGTTGTATTGGAACATTTTCACAGTTCCAAGTTCAACACCATCCAAGGACCTGCTGGGGATTTTGTGGTGAAAAGGTGTTTGTGGTTTTAAAGAAATGTAGGTCTTATATCAAAGCGTTTGTGGCAGGTTATTTTTTTCACCCATGCTGCTCAGTGTGCAGGCGCTACTGAACTCATGCCTATGTCAATATGTCAATGGAAAGGTCGGACGATGTATGAAAGAATACTTTGAGTTTATTTTTCTCTGATATAAATAATAGCAAGTAATAGGCACCTGGCGAAGATGAGAAGCAAAACATTCAAGACATATTTATTTTTTGGTGGTCTGCTGCCATTTCAGCACCTTCATGAAAGATGTCAATCCTCTCCACAGGTGACGCTACCGGAGAGAACTATGCTTTTTGATATTCTTTACAGCAGGATTTAAATAAAACCCCTGCATTAAAGGCAGATGGCATGTGGAGAAAAAAAAGCCTTTTCCAAATATCCTCATAAGTAAACATGACCCGAATTGAAAAAGATATTCTGATCAAACGCAGGTTGCTCATTAAATGTGGTCACAGTAGCTTTGGACATGATCTTTTAACTGAAGGCAGATGTTGTGAGTTTGTGCATTTTACTGTAACCTCACACATTCCCTTTTATGCGAGACTCTCACAAAGAACAGTATATCCTTGGGTTAAGCTGAGGCTAGAAGTTTATTTTTTCAATTTTATTTTTAGCACAATTTATATCCAAAGCCATTCTAAGTGGTTAAAAAGAAAATGAGAAAGGTGAAAAGTATACAAGCGGATGAACAAATACAAAATATTACAATGTTCAATAATAGTTATGACAAGGGTGTGGATTTTTTGTTATTTGATACTTGGTTTTATTTTGGCATTAGTTACTCTTAGTTACTTTGTGGTCCATTGTCTATGTCTGTTTTCCTGGTTTGTGTTTCGTTTTAGATTTGAGGTCGTACCACACCATAGTAAAAATTACATTTCGTACTAAGGTATCACCCACAACTGACTACAACACCCGCCTTCCGCGCTCTCTGATTTGTCGGTCGAAATTCAACCGATTGTATTCGCTAACACAGGGACCAGACCCAGACGTTACATGCAGTGAAATTATGATTGAGAGGAGTGTACGGATGGCTAAGGCCAGGCTAAGTTTTTACCATTATATTATAATCTCATATTATTTTGGTATTCCTGCATTTTGGGTTCCTTTTTTCATCACTTCAAAACACTTTTACTGTTATAGAAGAGCGCAGATATAATCATGAACAGTTTAGTTGAGTTAGTCACCATGTTTAATCTGTTATTATCTCCAATATATGAGACAGTTCAATGGCAGTGGCAGGTTTGAGCACATGGCCTACTCTCCACGTCCTCCTACAATTTCAAGTTCAGTGTGATTATTAATAGAATGGAAATATTTCAGAATTATGAACATATTATTTTTCCTCTTAACATATTTGATGTAGTCTTTTTCTTTTCTTTTCCAAACCGACACAATCCTTGTTAGGTAGTATTTTATTCACCACTGCTGCCTGAAGGGATGCCTGACAACTAGAGCTTGTTGACGCTTGCGTCTGGAGTGGCATCAGGGAGATATTAACGTTTGGTGGATGGAAAAACACCCATGCTGCTTAACGGAAAAACAAAAAGGGGCTTCCTGGTTGGGCCTTGTGGATATAACATTCAAAGCTGATGTGAATACCTTCCCGAGTCTTGCACTATGCTGGACATTTCTCCTGTTCCCTGGAGGCCTGTGCTTAACCTTAAATCTACCAGCGGCATCTCGTCATGGCCACAAAGTATTCTGCTGTTTATACGCTGGTCTGTCTCTTGGCTGATGCCGCGTTACTCTACACCCGGCAGACCGTATACCCTTGCCACGATTTTCCATCTCCTCAATGAGTAGTCGTTACAGTAGATGTCAAAAAGGTGACCGCAGAACAGCTTTCTCCTGTTTACACTGCAACTGGGCTGAAAATGACTGCGTCTAATACACTGTTTTCCTTACACCCAATTGTTTTTCTACCATTCAAGCAGCAATTTCTGTCACTTATCAGATCAGGCATAATCTGCAATGGCAAACTTTCTTCTAGAATGGTACATTTTTCTATTTACAGTAAGTGCATGTTGTGTCAGAGGCAGAATCGCTGAATTTATAAAAAGAATTGAGCAGACACCTATTAGGCAAGGCAGGTTTATTTATATAGCACAATTGTAAACCGCTTTGAGACTCCGATGTGTAGTGAAAAGGCGGTATATAAATAAAGATTACTTACTTACTTACTTAATTCATACACAAGGCAATTCAAAGTGCTGAACAAAATAAGAAAGCATTAAAATCATAAATAATCACAGAACATTAAAAAGAAAGATAAAAATATAAAATCCCTCAGTTGTATGCACAGCTAAACAGAACTGTCTTAAACCTGGTTTTAAACATTGTCAGAGAGGAGGCCTGTCTCACATCTTCAGGAAGACTGTTCCAGATTTTAGCAGCATGAATTTGAAAAGCAGCCTCCCCATGTTTAGTTCTGACTCTGGGCACTAACAGGAGTCCAGTCCCTGTGCTCCTCAGAGTCCGGGCTGATTCGTATGGGACTAACATCCTAACATATTTTGGTGCGAGGCACATATATTAGTGTCTGTAGCATCTACAATGTAAAAGGAAATAAAATGGAGCATTCAGTCGGAAGTCCAGGAGTAAATGCTTTGTCAAGTTATCAATGGATGTTGTTTCTGTACACCCGTGCACCCAACTGTTTTTATGGAACTGAAAACCAAATCTGACTGGAATGTTCCATAGTATAGTTTTAAGTTTTTATTTTCACAACATCATGCCAGACACTGCAGGTACTTTAAAGGAGACATACCTTCTTATCTTTAAATACAGAAAGATGTACATACGTGTGTCTGAGCTCTTGTCCTCAGGTCAAAATGACCCGCCATAACTCAAAGGAGCCATGGGTCAGAGCGACCCAAAAGGATAGTGTGAGGGTCACGGATGCAGGAATGGACTGTGTTTATACCGTTACAACCGAGGAGAGACTTTCTTCCCGACATGCTAAATTTTCAAGATAGAAAAAGTATTGACTCAGGGACACTTCTATAATGACATGAGCCAGATGCCCAGAGGCAAAGGCTTCCCCATAGACGTTGCATGTAAAGATGGTGCTTTGGGTAATCCGGTGTGAAAAGTGCAGTGTGAGGAAAATGTCATGTAACATAAACACAGAACAGATGCAGGAAATGTTCGATTTGCCCAGCATAGGCTGGGTCCACTGATTTCAAACAAGCAACAAATGTACTGGACAGGAACCACATGAGTTAATTCATTTGAGTATGTTTGGGGAAGAATGCAGTCAAAGCGGGCCTGTTAAAGTTGAGGAATGTACCATTGAATAATCCTGTTGCTTTGTGTTGCAGTGATGGCTCCTCAGGGCTTACGTCTGGTCACTGTGACAGACGTGTCTCTGCTGGTGGAGTGGGAACACGTACGAGGAGCAGAGTACTACGTCCTGACACACCACCCCAAAGGCGACGAGGGCGCTCTCAAACAGGCACGCTAATATAATGACTTTTTTCCACATTATGAAAACTTCTTTAATCATTCACCTTTTGTAGGTCCAAATTCCCAACACGGAGAACTCACACCTCCTCACGGGACTAACTCCTGGGGTCACCTACATCGTCCAAGTTTATGCCGTCATTAAAGAAGTCCAGAGTGAAGCAGACAAGATAGAGGCCACAACTGGTTTGTATAGAATATGTATTATATATATTATATATGTATAATATATAAAATATAAGTTCAGTTCAAGATATGGTCAAATACGGTGTAATGGGCCACGCCAAGTTTATACTTGAACTCTACAATGCTTTATGACTCTGAACTGAATAGCAGTAATTGTTTGGTTACCATGGCACCTGTGGGTGAAATGTATATACCAAGGTGTAGTCATGTCTAGGTTATAAAAAGTGCACATTTTACTCCATGTAAAATATGCACTTGCCCATTCTGTGGTGTACACAAAATGGGCAAGAGAATTGACATTTACAATGTCAATGACAATGTGACATTTAAAACTTCACACACTATTGACACACCCTTATTTCTTTTATGCTGAAATGAGTTAGACTAAAGCTAGGGTACTTAACTTTTTTGCTTTATGAATGATACTGTACATATTTGTTTATCCCAGTGTTTTGAAAGTATTAGAAAACCTACTTTTTTTTTTAATTCTCGTGAGAAAGTTCCCCTTGAGTCACAATTTGATGCGTTGGGCTGAAAGCTGATTGGTTGTGTAAGGGTGGTCCTCTCTTTATTACAATTTTTATCTATAAAAAAAAGCTGATTAAAAGTTGTGTCAGAATCCAAAAAAAATGCATGCATGGGAAAAGTCTTGATTAAATAAAACTGATGTGAAGCAGTTTGAAGTTAAGTACCCCAGTTTTAGTTCTTGTATGGATCAGAACAGTGTGTGTGGCTACATTGAGTCAGTCAGTGATGTAGGTATAAGCTCAGAACAGAGGTAAATAACCAGCATACTCTTGTATACAATTACATTTTATAACATTCTGGCTTAATTAGAAGGAAATGGCTTTTAAATGTGTTTAATTAAATCCAGCCTTGGCCATAGATGTGGTGAGGGACAGATGTTAGGTGACTAGATGAAAAGATCCTATGGGCATAAGGGACTAACACAAACAAACAAAATATATGAAGACAGGCAGCGGTGGTTTAGTGGAGCATTCCTTTACCGCCTGAAGAACCCTCATCTGGCGCACACAGCAGGAGGCCACCATCTTGCATAGTTTTAACCTTAAGAGATCCGCTTCCACTCTTTCCATTGCATGAAAAAAGTGCATAGATATCATAGTCTGCATATAGATGGACAATGGTTATCGTCCGATCTGTCATAAAACTCATTCATTAGTCCACTGGGTGTTTTTTTTGAAGATTTATTCTTCAAGTTCAATAACGTTTTTCTGTCGAGGCATCAATTCTTTCCGGTGTCTTCAATCCACCAATTTCAGCTTTACTGTTCATATCCAAATTCTGTCGATAGAGTTGTCCATTTCTCATTTGTGTCTATTTCTCAGCGGCTTACAGCAGGCTTGATTTCAATCAGAGGCTGTCCAGGTTTTCCAGAGTATACGCAGGTCCAGATGCATGATTTACCTCCTGATGTTTTACAGTGGTTTTAAAAAAATAAAATAAAAAAGGACAAAAAAATATATTTAGATGTTCAGACAATCCCGCTTCCTCCAACCAAAGGAAATGATAAAATTTGTGGAAGTCTGGGATCGTGTCTCTACCATAGACTCCACAGAAGACATGTTTTATTGTTGATATGTGGCATAGCATCAGCAACACAACCAAAGTTTCGCAGCATTCACATGGTTTATACCAAGACAAAAACACGGAAGTGCCCCTTAGACTCTGCCACGGCGCCAGTAGATACATTTGCTTTAGCCTTCAGATAACCAAAACATCAAGTGGTAAAGTACTGCGGACAGTTGTAAGATTAACATTAACATTGGGGAAATTTCAGAGTTACAGAACAGTAGAATGACGACAATAAGTAAATATAAAATTAAATCTCTAACTTTATCATAATAAAGAAAGAAGTATAAAAACACTAGCTATAAATAATAAAGCAGCAAATGCAGAAGTTTTTTACATAATTGTAAAAGAAAAGTACCATAAAATGCATGTGCTGTACATATGCAGCATGTTTATATGAAAAAAAACAAAAATCTGTTTTGTAGATGTTTCAAGCCTCGATGACCTGCGGGTTGTTGGTCAGAGCGATGTGACCATAGAAGTAGACTGGCAAAACCCGGCGGCCCCAGTGGAGGCCTTCAGGCTCTCGCACACAAGCCCATCAGGACAGAAGGAGGAGCTGGACGTGCAGCGCAGTCAAGAGGCCCGCACCAAGCACACGATCGTGGGTGAGTGAAGCCGTGAGAGCAGAGAGGAGACCATGGGGGGGCTGTGGAGTTATGCTAATCATGCTGGAATTAGCTTGAGAAGGAATATACAGTATAAGTGGGAAGAAAATACTGATAGAATTTGGGCTAATTTTCTGGATTTACTCTCCATGGAGGAAATGAGCTGATAAGACAAACTATAATAACTGTCGCTGGAATTGGATTAAGAATGTATATCAGGACATGGTATAAGGACACATTGTCTACTGTATTGCCTTAATTATTCTTATATCAAATCATTATGAATGAAATAAATTGTTTTTATTATATAGTTTGAAATATATAATCTAGTTTGAATACATGCAAAACAAAAAAGTTAAGATGTTTTGGGCTTTTGTCCTCTTTTTATTTTTTTTATTTAACCTTTATTTAACCATGAAAGTCCCATTGAGATTAAGAGCCTTTCTTTCAAGGGAGTCCTCTCACTCCACACAGTGATGGGAGCGGGGTAGCCATACTGTAGGCACAGCATGGCCTACAGTGGCCTTTTGCACATGCTGTCAGTGGTAGGAGAGACTGGAGCACTAGGACCTTCCTGCTGGCTAGTTTCATTATGGTAGACTTTCTTCAAACAAAATCATTTCATTTAAGAATCTGTTTCCTCCAAGAAAAATAATACGGTTGCACATGTAAAGGTCAAACATGCATTTACAGTATTAGATTGGAGGGTAAATCCCCTAAACCAGGCATGTCAAAGTCAAATACATCAGAGGGCCAAAAAAAAATTTTTGCTACGCGCCGAGGGCCGGACTGGTTCAATGTTTCTCAACATCCAGAGGCAGTGCCGGTGACACCTGTTGGCTCGATAAAATATGCTCCAAAGCCAATCCTCATACTGTACATATTAGATGTAATAGACATCTGAGAACATGAAAATAGTAAAAAAAAAGAAAAAGCTCAAACTTGGTGAAATGTAAAAGAGCAGTCTGGACCTCTTTTTTGGGGCGTTTTTTGATTAAATCTGAAGAATGGATTATACTTTGGGAAATACAAGTGGATGTTCTTCTTCAATGAACAGTTACGGAGAGAAAGAGACTAAGCAAGGATGGGGAAAGTCTAATTTGTTGGAGCAGCAGAAGACGAAAGGTAAAAAAAAATACAAACTGATTTATTTTGTGCCCATATTATGCGTTATATCTTTTTAATGCAAAGTCTGATATCGTTTACATATAAATATAGCTGAGAAAATAAGCTTTAAAATGATATATAGCTTGTGGCTTATGAAGTTCAAAATACATCTGCTATTGCCAGCAGATGTATTTTTTTCCTCGTTTGCTCCCGCCGGCGGGGGCTAGCGAGCTTAAGGGGTCAATACGTTGCCTCAATGGCAGGCAATGTCCCGGGGGCCATAGATAATTCATTCGCGGGCCGGATTTGGCCCGCGGGCCCTTGACTTTGACACATGTGCCCTAAACAATGCTGAAACAGAACACAAAACAGCTCTGACTTCCTCAAAGGGATCTTTTGGAAGTTGACTAGAGATTGAATTCATGTTTGAAGGAGAGTATCTTTTTAGACAGAAGACCAAAGCTCTCTAATCTTATCTCTATTTTAGACACAGGGTTGGACAGTGACTTAGAGCCACTCTGAAGGAGACCGGACCTAACCATTAAAAAAAGACAACTGGGATGTTCTCCTTTGTAGAAACTCCTGCTTGAGGCATCTCAATTCAACTTTCATCAAAATAGTGCTCCATTTATGAATTTTCATACTCTTGTTTAAGCTTTAAGCCAAAAAACAATGTGTTTTACTTTATGAAGAACAAAGAATACAATGTTTGCATTTGACTTTTTTTTTCAAACAGGAGCTATCTGTGCAAATGAAGTCTTCACTTTTGCAGTGATTGGTCAAACACTCTATATGTTCTAAAATTTTATCTTTACTCTCCAGGTCTTTATCCAGGAACTGAATATTTGATTTCCGTGAGTGCTGTGAATGGAGCTAATGAGGGAAAGGCGTCTAAAACGACTGGGGTCACAGGTGAGTGTGTCTGCACACCTCTCTGGACACTTGCCATTCATTATACTGTACATATTTATGGTATCACACTTTGAATGAAAAGTACTCTAAAAGAAATCCAAGGAAGAGATCCTTTTAGCCTCTAATGAACTCATGTCCTTAGGTTAATATAGAAAACACACACTGCACCTGGTGTGATCTTCCTCCCAGACCATAACGTCCTAGTTACAGTATGGTGAAGTGGACTGGGATTTGGATGATCCTTCAATAAAGATGCCATACAAAAAGGGTTACATCATGATTGAACATAAGAATGTAGAGCCTAGTAGTAGTCTTGCACAGTTTTCCAATGTGGTTTTACTGCAAATGGCAAATAAATGAATCTGAATCTGAATCTAATATTGCTGAGTGGATGGTTGTGGTAAACAGGAACCCGATATGTAGAGTGTAATGGTGACCTGATGCTCTCTGATGACTTGACTGTGGTCTGAGGTGGATTCTTGTTCGGTGGCTTTTCGTCTTACCCTCTTTTTGGAGACCAGACGGTATTTGCTGATAGCTTGTACAGCTGCTCTGAACATTAGTTTGACAGATAGTCCAAACTGGCAGCTCTGCTTTCTTTTGTGCTTTGTGAAGGTTCTTCAGTTTTGCTTCCTCCTAATGATCTCTTTACACCGGTTTCGACACAAGAGGAAGCCTCTTTATAAACACATCAAAGCTGTTGATTTTTGTTCTAAATTAGAATTATTTCTGTAAAGTAACAGTATGCATTGCAGAAAATGTATTTTAGAATGAATTGGGTTTCCCTAAGTTCCCTATTCTAAATCCCATCTAAATCTAAAATTCCAACCCAGAAATCTATCTAGCGCTCTGGTAACTACTAACCACAGATCAATGGTCTATTAAAATGTTACGTTTTGTTATAAACATTCTTTTATGTATTTATATTAATGTGGCCATTACTCACCTGACAGATGGTCAGCATTCTTTTATAATGAGATTTTGCAACAAGAGCTATTACATGTTTTAGTAATTGGGGAAACTGGAACACCTGAAGATAACATATATACAGACCAGTGGGGGAGGGTCCCAGCTCAAAAGTAGCCAAAATGACGTGCGCTGACATGCTTGCAATACCACCCCGGACCGATGGGGGTGGACCCAGAAGAAGGCAAGGCAAGGCAAGGCAAGGCAAGTTTATTTGTATAGCACAATTCATACACAAGGCAATTCAAAGTGCTGAACAAAACAAGAAAGCATTAAAATCATAAATAATCACAGTACATTAAAAAAAGAGAAAAATATAAAATCCCTCAGTTGTATGCACAGCTAAACAGAACCGTCTTTAACCTGGTTTTAAACATTGTCAGAGAGGAGGCCTGTCTCACATCTTCAGGAAGACTGTTCCAGATTTTAGCAGCATGAATCTGAAAAGCAGCCTCCCCATGTTTAGTTCTGACTCTGGGCACTAACAGGAGTCCAGTCCCTGTGCTCCTCAGAGTCCAGGCTGGTTCATATGGGACTAACATGTCACTAATATATTTTGGTGCGAGGCCATGGAGAGACTTGTACACAAGCAGAGCTGTTTTAAAGTCTATTCTCTGAGCCACAGGAAGCCAGTGCAGAGACCTGAGGACCGGACTAATGTGGTCGTACTTCCTGGTTCTAGTCAGGACTCGAGCTGCTGCATTTTGAATGTACTGCAGCTGTTTTACAGCCTGTTTGGACAGACCTGTGAGCAGGCCATTGCAGTAGTCTAACCTACTGGAGACAAATGCATGGATAAGAATCTCCAGGTCTGCTTTAGACACTATGTTTTTGATCCTGGCAATGTTTTTAGATGGTAAAAAGCTGCTGATGTTACTGATTTGATGTGGCTATTAAAATTTAAGTCTGAGTCCAGTATTACCCCTAGATTTCTGACCTTGTTTGAAGGTTTTAGGGAGAGAGACTGTAGGTGACAGATGACACTCTCTTTGTTTCTTGGGACCAAAGACAATCATTTCAGTTTTGTCTGCGTTTAGCTGAAGGAAGTTATTTTGCATCCACTCACTGATCTGTTGGATACAGTGAAGGAGTGAGTCCACTGGTCCATGTTCTCCTGCAGTCAGTGAGACATAGATCTGAGTGTCGTCTGCATAGTTGTGATAGGAAACTTCGTTTCTGCGTATTAACTGACCTAGCGGCAGCATGTAGAGATTGAACAGAAGAGGTCCCAGGATCGACCCCTGTGGTACTCCACAGGTCAGGGCCATATGATCTGAGACACAGTTTCCAATCTCCACAAAGTACTTCCTGTCTTCAAGGTAAGACCTAAACCAACTTAGGGCGGTGCCAGCGACGCCAACCCAGTCCTCTAGTCTCTGTAAGAGGATCTCATGGTCGACGGTGTCAAAGGCAGCACTTAGATCTAACAAGATTAAGATTGAGACTTTGCCTGCGTCAGTGTTCAGGCGGATATCGTTTGTAACCTTGAATTAGCCAATGCTAATTAGCCAATGCTAACATATAGCGTTAGCAGACCCTCTTGGCCCAAAGCTCCGTTCCACATGTGTGTCAATGCTGAGGGGGGTGGATTTTTTTTGGCCCACTCTAGTTTACTTGCTGTGAATTTTTGAAGTCTCTCGTTCAAATGAATGGAGCTGCGCTAGCTGCGCAGTCTATGATACAGACACAGGGGGAACATGCAAACTCCACAAATAGGCCCTGTTCCGATCAGTTTCTGTGAAGAATATGAGCAAACCACACTGCCAATGTTCTATCGAATAATCAATTAGTTGTGATTAATCAATATATTTGTTTCATCCCTCTTGAATATAGGGCAGGCCTACCGGACCAGGGCCTTTCTGAGTGGAGTTTGCATGTTCTCCCCGTGTCTGCGTAGGTTTCCTCCGGGTACTCCGGTTTCCCCTACCACTAAAAATATGTACAATAGGTCTGGCATGCGCCTCCTGTTCGGCGACCCCGCTCCCATCTCTGTGTGGAGTGAGAGGACGAGTGCCCAAAAAATAACAATTGTAAACCGCTTTGTGACTCTGGTCTGTGAAAGGCGGTATATAAATAAAGCCTACTTACTTACTTACTTACTTCTAAATGTGAAACAAAGTTGTTGACTTGTATTTGCTTCAGCCTGTGCAGTGTTAGCTTGGTATTTTGAAGCCTCACCTGCCTCTCATGTCCTAAACTCCGTCATGGCCTCTGCTTCTCCAGTCAGAGCTAATATCTCCTCTGTGGTAACTAATCTTTCCCTGACAGACAGTGACTTGTCCTCACTCCACTGGCCACAATCCTCCATTTTGGATGTTGTGTGAGGCGGCTTAGAGGTGATTGAAGAGGATACTTGTGAGCTGGGTTTGACACCGAGGGCAGCGCCGGTCTTACGATGACTGGCATTGCTGCGATAGAAAAGAGCACTCACCTATTATCTCCAAAGAACAAGCTGCTCGCCTCAGGACAGCGCTGTAATACTCAGGGATAAGGCCCACCCAAGGGAGCTATACGGCGTTCGTGAATCTGCTGCTTCTTCACTTTCCCTCACTTTCCCAACATTTCCTTCATTGGAATTGTTTTTTTCTGTTTGTTCTGGATTGTTGTTATTCTTTGCATTTCTTTGTTTGCTGTATACAACCCTTCCCCCTTTTTATCTATTGATATCTTGACCAGCATGGAATTCAATATTCTATATGGAGCTGATGATGTACACTTATACATAATGTTTTAGGTATAAGACTTTTATGTGTAGAGCTTCAGATAAAGTACTGTAGATTTTGGAAAAAAAATGTAATTTCTGTTTTGATTTTTTTCAAATACTTCCAATACTTCCAAATACAAAATATGACTGAAACAAAAAAAACAATATTTTTATCGGGTTCTATGATTCTTTGGTCACGCCATCCACGTGCAAAAGTGCCATATTGTGAGATGCTAGCTCCAAAGCTAACAACAGCACAGAGCACAGTCTGAGGGGGAGGGGGTAGTGGGGGGCGAAAGCTCCGTGGGTGCGGGGAGGGCGAGCAGAGAGAGCGAGGCCAGCGCTGCATTTGAAAATGTCTCAAAATCAGTTAGTGCAGCTTTAATTTTAATACTAAAAGATGTAATATACTGTAGATCAGACTCCTAGATTAGTTTCAACAAGAATGTATCAAACCTTACTACTTAAAATGTTGACAATGGTCTCACAGCTTGTAAAAAACCTCATTACTGACAATTATAACATTTGAATAATCAAATTATAACAAAAAAAGACTTGGCTTAAGTATCTTTGTACGTGATGAGTCTATATTATATTCTAGAAATAAATTCCCTTTTGAATGATATTCTAATTTTACAAGTTTTACCTGTCTACATTTGACATATAACTCCAACACATTCTGGGACAAAACTAAAAGCCAGCTCATACTGTAATTTTTTTTGTAATGTTTTTTTGATTACTGAACTGAAAAGATTAAAAATATACCCGTCACATGCCTAACTACCCGTTCGATAACCTGGCTGTGATGAAAGGCCACAGTTACTCCTTCTTCTCCTTCGCCCACACGTCTTTAAGCAGGAGCAGATGTGCTGGCTGCTGGTCAGGGTGAATCATGTTATCAGAATATACTGTAGCACCTTTTGGCCCGCTGGGACAGTCCTGAGCTCCGAGGCCTGTCCATCACACTCAGCCTCAAAATGTCTACGCCAGAAATGTGACAGACAGGAATGTGAAAGGAGATGCTCAATAATAAATCTAGAATGAACTGACTTTATGATACATCCGATGGCACGTGTCAGTGTTGGATAGCACAGTGGACTAAAGTACTAATCTATACATGCTCATAGAGGAAAATTCAATTTCCTAAACTGTATGTAATCTTTTATTACTATATCTTATAACAAGATTCTATAAGGTTCAAAGCTGATTGGTGATGGAAATTAATGGGATAGGGTTTTATTATAGGTAGGATAGGTAGTTTTATTGAGCCCTCGCTTGGGTCTTTTTTCTTAAGGGTTGTTTTGTTGCTGGATTTTTTCCCAGTCACTAG